CTTCAGCCTAACGGAATTTGCTCTGAAACCGTAAAGATTTATGCTTGTAGCATAGCTTACTGGCCCTGTTATCTGTCATTCTTCGCAATTGCTGGCTCTTTTTTCCTTAAAAATGTCTTGTGAGTATAGCTGTGTATCGATAATGTTAATTAATATTTCCCTAACTTGTGCCTAAAAGAAATGAGTCAAATGACTATGAGTTCGGTGGGTTTTTGGTCAAAAAACTTTTTACTATCCATAGTGTGTTTTGGTTGATATCAAAATTGTTTTCTTATTTTAGTTTGTCTGGGTTTGATGTGCTGAAATTGATTGGTTTGAACTTTCTTCTTACTTATTTTTCGTAAGGGAGAAGATATTTTTTTAGATATTGGTGTTATTAGCTGATACATTTATACACTGATTCTTGATCTACTAATTAATTTTCGCTAATCTTCCACCTTTTACCTCCCACCCGAACAGCTCCGCCTCCTCTCTTTCTCGGGCGATCTTAAGCCATGTCTGAAGATTTCAAGCAAGGGAGGCATCCGAAAAGAAGCCGAACTGACGAGTTAGGTACGTTTTTCCATAGTGTGGGAAACATATTTCGGTATCCCGAGAATCCCGCGGATATAGAGACTACATTTCAAGATATGGGAAGTGCGATTAATCATATTGGGAAGGCAATTATTGCTATGGGGTGTGGTTATTGTAGGGTCTGGTGGTGGAATTGCAGGGTCTGGTGGTGGAATTTCAAGGTCTCTCCTAATCGAATTCCGAGTATATGATAGCATGATAATTGCTAAAGGAAGTAATGGGAACTTATTTTTGGGGAGCATGCATGATGGTAAAGATGTGGTGGTGAAAAGATTGGCAAGAAGTCATGCTGATATTGACCAAGACATTCTGACTTCAATAAAAGTTTTGGGACATGCAAATATAATTAAATTTTATGGATTGATGCTGAAGCAGAACTACATGTATCTTGCTGTAGAGACTCGCGTGTGCAGCCTCCATGATTTAATTCAGGCTTATTTAGATCCAAGTGCATTCCCTCAAGATCCACCATTGAGTGATGAATATAAAGTAAAGTTGGAATATCTCCAGAAGAATGTCATCCCCTTGCTCGATTTGTGGACTAATGATGGTTAATCCCACGAGTGATTTGAAGAATTTGATGAGGTAATTTTTTATGCTTTGTCAAAATGGCTACAATATGTTGCTTATTGCGGCACTCCAATAGTCAACTAGTTTTCCCATGAACTCGTGGCTCATCTACTATGTGCAGGGATGTGGTGTCGGGACTTGACGAATTGCATAGGAGGGATTTTACTCATGCAGACTTGAAACCACAAAATGTGATGCTTAATTTTAAGGAGTAACAAGCTAAGCTGTCAGACGTGGGCATTAAGAAATACTCTCGTGGTGATAGATCTTCAAATCCCGGCACCGGTAAGTGCTTATGATAGCTTTATCTACACTTGATCTTCTTTTCCTCCAAGTGCATATAATCATCTTCAGATTTCTAATATTTTTATTGCTAGACCAATCACTTTTTTGTTGATCCATGTCTTTCTCTTTGGTTGTGGAACTCAGGATGGCAACCGCATGAACATATTGGTCAAGTTGGGCCCCACGCAAAGCAGGTGGACTTATTCAGCTTAGGCTGTCTATTGTGTTATTGCATCCGCCGAGCACACCATCCATTTGGTGGAATTTTTGAAAGAGATGCCAAAATAAGAAAGAACAGAGTGGACCTGTCCTTGTTGCAACCTGAAGCCCGTGATCTTATTTCACAATTGCTATACCGGGATCCTCAATTGAGGTAAGAGTGTCATACTTGTGATGCATATGAATTAATTTCTTTGAGCATGTTGAGCAATAGTTCATTTTTTTTGTAATTATTTTACCAATTGATTACTGTCAGGCCAGGAGCATCGCTGGTGCTTTCCCATACATTTTTTTAGAAATCAGGAAAGAGGCTGCAATTTCTTTGTGAGTTCTCCAGTTGCAAACGAAGGCATATTAAAGAGAATACCAATCCAAATCTTCTAAGAGAATTGGAAAGCAAGCAGCAATTGATTTTGGATTGGATCTCCAAATTAGATCCTATATTGAAGGCTGACATAACCTCCTCCAAATATCACTATAAGTATCATCTTGTGAGAGACTTATTGCGAGTCATTCGCAATAAGTGGATCCACAATGATGAACTTCCACAAAAGTTTCTGGTACTCTCTGTGGAACTTTGTATATCTTGGATTTTGAACTTGTGGCTCATCTATTTTTTGCTTTAATGGCTTTTGCAGGAGCTTCTTTCCAAACCCTTTCGTGTGGAGCCAACTTTACGTGATCGTTTCGATCATTACATCTCTAAACTTTTAATTTTATTTCAGAGTGAGTACAGGGAGAGGACATCCTTATTTATATAAGAACCTCTCTCATTACAACTGTTGATCTCTAACCCAATTTAACGGTGTAGATTGATGACAAGTGTCTAGAATACAAATATATTTTCTATTTTACCTCCGTACATTCCCTATATTACCCTCAACAAGGTTCTGGAGCACTCGAGAAAGATTCTTGGAAGATGTCGAGGCTCAATCGGTTGTGTTGGGTAACATTTAACCTTAAAACTTTTGGACCGTTACATATGCATGGCGAGCTTGGTGGTAGTTTTTCGATTGGGCCCTTGAAGGTAACTGTGCATCGTCCATTAGTCTCCATTCCATCTGCATAGTGTGTCGTACATGCGATTTTTTTGGCTAAGCTGAATGGAGCATTATTTAATGTCAATTCACTCCATTGATCGTTGAGATACATTGTGTTTCTTGGAAGGAATTGCAATAGAAAAGCTTCGCTTGTAAATTTCTTCTATAATAACCACCATAAATCTCTTTTGAATTTTAGGACAAATTATACCGAATTCGTGTTCGGGGGCATGCATTTGCCTGATGCTACTGTCTCTTCTGTTCTTTATGTGAGCAGTTTTGCTGAAACGGAACTACCATCTTTCAAAACCGAGATTACAATGCCATCGAGCACATTTGCTGCTTCTCTTGCAAAGGCATTTGCACCCTATGGGTGCAAAAATGTATGGTGCTTTTTGGTGCTCTCACTATTTGGAACAAAAGCAGGTGACTGGTCCTCTTCAGTGTCTATTTAATCTGTCTTATCCTATGGAATCGTGGCGTGGGCATTAGAGAAACTCGAGTGCGCATCTTCTTCAAATTGATCTGACATAGAACGTCTGAAGTTCAGAATATAGGTTAGAACTAATAGTCTTTGCAAATTGTAGAAGAGGATATACTTTATAGAAACGTGTACCGTCTATCTTATTGTCGGTTTGGCTTTTGAGTGGATCATGGAGAAGTAGAATAGAGGAGCTTCTCTTTTTTTGTTAGTGAACATGCTGTTGTGACCAGCTATGAACTTAGTCATAGCCGACACAATGCTAATGAAATTGTCGGTAAAGCAAAGATTACTCCTCAACAGATTCGCATTAATATGTTTGGGCATGAGGCAGCAAAGATATTGGACTATGAGGAATGCTTTCCTGATTGATACAAGAAAGGAACTAAAATAGCCAAGCAATGTGCTAATGTTGGTATAGAAGGCTTCCCTACATGGCTGATAAATGGTGAGGTATGGGGATTTCCTCATTTCAGGTATTTTGGCTCGTCCTAGAGAGAGAATGGCTTTCTTCCTAGTCTGCCTTAATTCCGATACTCACCAGCATTTCTGGGCATTGCTTTTGTTTCTGTTATAGTTGATGATGGCATGATCCATCAATGATAAAATGCCGAAAGGGGCCAAAATTACCTTCTTTTAATTTGCTGCAAAGCATTGAGAGTTGATGCTTCTCTTCTGGGTAAAAAAAGATTTCTCGCCGAATCGCATTCGGCAAGTTTTTGCGATTCGGCAAGTTTTGAGCGGAGAGCAAGAATTGTCGGAGCTCGCCCAGGCGTCTGGATTCGAATCTAACAAGCTTAGTGGACTTAGTTGAGATGCTTCGTCACAGTGATCTGCATAACTTCCATTTTCCAAAACCGTTCGAGTATCAATTGTCATTTTAGATTATTAATGTCCCTATCGTTTTCTGTACATATTTAATGCAATGTCTCCACGAGAGAATTGCACATTTTTCGGTCCATTGATATGTTCTTAAATTACATGTTGGACAAACATGAAGACAGCAATTTGACATTTGAGTTGGTGATGTGTCCACGGAGATGCTGCTAATCGTATGTGCTTTTGCCCGAACATTTCCGATTCCAAAAGATGTTCCTGAACCAGTGCTCTAACTTAGTATAGATAAACTACTCTATACCACACCAATTTTACTTACACGTGCATTTTAACATCCCCTATTAAATGGGGATGTCCAATCGGGATTTAGATATGCTATAAATGATAAGGTCTGTCTTGTCCAATTGGTACCGTAGGATTTGGATATGCCATAGATGGTAAGCTCTGCCTTAAGCCGAAATTGCAGATTACTTAATGTTGATTTTGCTCTTTGGATGCAGAAAGCTAGATTAGGTGTTCTCGTCATCAACTTCTCACTAATGATAAGGTTAGCTATGATCTTTTTCCATCTTTGTTCGTCGAGTATATGTGAAAGATCATTTGGTTTTCTCAATTGGATTTCTTCATTAAGGATATTCTTGTGTTATATACATATTGCGGTGGCGAGGCTATATTTTCGCTTAATTTTCCATCCTTCTATTGCGTTTTGCTCTCGGTCAAATCAAATGTATTAAAGGTTCCAAAGAGTGTGGAGTGGCATCACCACTCTGAATTCAAATAGGTGGCTGACAGGACTCCGATTGCGAATGAAAAAAAAAAGTTACGTGGTCAAATCACATGAATAACGAAATGCAGAGGAAAAAAAACAACATTGCTGTCTAGCTACTTTGTCTGAAAATTTGCGGGGAAAATGTCGTTACAATTGAAAAGCATGGACCTATTTAATTGGGGTGGCAAACGGGTTGCCGTCTTGCAATCAAAATCTCAAACTCATTTGCCCTCGCGTCTCAATGCGATCACCAAAGCGTCTGGAGATGGAGAGATCAGTCCCGTGGTCGGAACTCCCAACGGAGTTGTGGTCGATGATTGGGAAAAAGCTCGACACCCGCGTGGACATCGATCAATTTCGCAGCGTCTGCTCGCCGTGGCGTTCCTCCATACCTCCAGTCTCAGAGTCCAAGCTCAGAATTGGAGGGACCTTGATCAGTCAGTGCATGGTCTATCTTCTCGAGCTGCCACCAACATCTCCGAAGGACTCGCAGTGTCCTCCGTCTCATGAGGGTTGGTTGATCAAGATCACAGAAGATAAGGACCTAAGTGGTCGAGGCCGGGTTCAGCTCTCCAATCTGCTCTCGAGCCGACCCATCTTCAAAGGTGGGACCTTTCCTGAGGTTTTGTGTACTATGGATTATAGGGTCACTGAGATTTTTGTAGAACGTTATCTCATAGGCAAGAAAGGAGCATGTTATCCTGGGGCCGCAAGGAAGGTGATCATGCTTCCGGATTCTCCATGGGCTGCTCTAGAGGAGACTTCGGTCGTCGGGATCTTCGGGAGAGGGAGATTGAAGTGTTGGAAACATGGGGACGAGGATTGGAATGCGATGGACAATCCGAACAGCCCATACGACGATCTCATTGCTTACAAAGGGCAGTTTTATGTTGTTGATAGGTTCGGCACCGTGTCATGGATCAATCCTTCTTTTAAGATGGTGCAGTTCTCACCTCCTGTTTGCGGTAACGGCAATGGTGGGGACTGGAAGCATCTGGTGGAGTCGGGCGGAGATCTCTACGTGGTGGATCGATATTGCAATGAGTTTAGTACAATCGGTAGGATTCGGGCAGGCGCTGTGAGGGAGGCTGCTGGTTTTAAGGTTTATCGGCTGAATCAAGAATGGGGAAAATGGGATGAGATAAGGAACCTCGGTGATGTTGCTCTCTTTCTGGGCGATCACAGTTGCTTCTCAGTGTCGGTGAAAGGATTCGGACGATGCAAGGGGAACTGCATATATTTCACTGAGATTAACGCGACTCGAGGGGGAAAAGTTCAAGTCTTCAATATGGAGGATGGCAGCATCAAGAGGGCATCATATTCGCCTGATCACTTGAGGATCCTGTGGCCGCCACCAGCTTGGATCGCCCCAAATGGGTTCGACCTAAGTCCTTCCTCGCTTGAGGAGCCGCTATTCTAGTTAATTCAGAGGAGAGCTTCGTGATTTGGATGAGGTACAATGAGAACTGGTCTGTAATTGCTTAGTTGAAGAGAGAGAGAGACCAAAGAGTTTTATTCTTTTCAAACTTGCATCTGCATACAACCTTGATGATCACATACTTGTGTGCTCGTGAGGGCATGAGTGTGCACCGTTGTGCATGGATCACTGTTGACTGTGAATGTGTGTGTTTGCGCGCGCTCACATGTTTGTTTTGCCTTCTGATAGAATGCCGTGTTATCTTGATGAATGAGTTGAGGCATGAGTTGATGGATAATCATGTTTAATGGCGATGCTCGTGGATAGAACCTGTTGCAGGATATATGCTGAAATGATAGTTGTTGCCTCTGTATCTTTTGCACTTCTCTACAGGAGAGTTCTCATGCAACCATGATCCAATACCGTGTCCATTATAATCAGATGGGTTCTCTTTCTTTTGTCATTTAAGCTGAGTTTTGAAGGGACAATGCAGTCTGCCTGAGTTTGCCCAACTACTCTATGCTCCCGCCATGCCATGTACCGTTACCGTCTTTGTCGACCTCATCCTGGTCAGTTCCAGGCACACACGTGAAAGCAGAATCGGGCGGAGATTTTCTGGTTATGGCATAGCGGACTGTGTCGAAAATCTTCTTCATCTCGTGCATATGCTTTCGAGCATCGTGAACATTGGATTTTCTAGAGGCAGTGCCTCACGTTTGACTTTCATCTTTTCCATAGCTTCGATTGGTTTTTTGGTCCTGATGGTGCCAACACAACCGTGTGAAGATTTAGCGGTGTTGTCAAGTTAGTAGCAGGAAAATGTCTGAAGAGAGAGAGGAGTGCAGGGAGTGGGTGATGACTTTGTGGTCAGCCTCAGCAGCCAATAAGAAGTCTGGGTAGGAAGTGGCATGAAAAATTGTCCCACATCAGACACGTAGGAACAAGGAAATGTCTAATCAGTTGTACAAGAGCAAGGTTTTCGTCAACGGCTAAGTATCTTTGCGCTTGGGGCAATGACGCAGCTAGTGAGGTACTAAACGAGGCGCGTCTATTGCTGGTTGAAAACTATTTCCAAACCCCCTCTTCGGCCTGAGCTTGAGCTCAGGCCATCGAGAATTTCTGGAAGGGCTCCCCATGGGGTAAAGCCCTACAATTTATAGTTCCAAGATTTTTGAGCCCGCTTTTTGTTTTAGTAAAATTGGTATGGGATAATAAATTTGTCAAATTTCAGATTTATTTGCAATATGAGGTGATAATATTGTCAATTGTAGTTTGACATAGGATGTTCCTACATATTAGAATTGCAATTCTGGGACCTTGGTTTGTAGGATTGCTATCTTATTGTCCAAATATATAATTATTTATCCACGCGGTATGTTGCATCAAAACATATCAATGGACCGAACAATATACAATTCTCTCATGAGACATCGCACCAATATGTACAGAAAAAGATAGATACATTAGTAATCTAAAGTGACAACAGATATTTCGAGATAATCGTTACAATTTCTCCATAACCCTATCCCCAATCCGAAAAAGAAAAAAGAAAAGGGCTTTTCTGGTGCCCAATGATTTGTAAAGCAACGAGTAAAAGAGTAAGTCCCATTTCAGACTGTGTAATGTGTGCCCGTGTAATACTTGAACGGCTTGGAAAATAGAAGTCATGCAGATCACAGCAATGAAGAGCATCTAACTAAGTCCACTAAGCTCGTTAGATTCAAATCCAGACGCCCGGGCAAGCTCTGACAATTCTTGCTCTCCACTCAAAACCTGCAATGAATGCGCTTCGGTGAGAACTCATTTTTTTCCCCAGACGAGAAGCATCAACTCCAAATGCATTGCAGCAAGATAAAAGAAAGCAATCTTGGCCCCTTTCATCATTTTGTAATTGAGTAAAAGCAGACTGGAAATAGTTTTTGACTAGGAACAAAGCCATTCTCTCTCTAGGACAAGCCAGAAAACCTGAAATGACGAAATCCCCATACCTCGCCATTTATCAGCCATGTAGGGAAGCCTTCTATTCCAACATCAGCACATTGCTTGGCTATTTTAGTTCCTTTCTTGTATTCATCAGGAAAGCATTCCACATAGTCCAATATCTTTGCTGCCTCATGTCCAAACATCTGAATGCAAATTGTTAATGAGTAAGCTTGCCTCACTGAAAATTTCATTAGCATTATGTCGGCTATGACTAAGTTCATAGCTGGTCACAACCGCATGTTCACTAACAAACAAAGAGAAGCGCCTCTCTTCTACTTCTCTTTGCTCCACTCGCTGACAATTAGACAGAACATATTTCTGTAAAGTAAATCCTCTTCTATAAATTGCAAAAAGTATAGTTCTAACCTAGATTCCAAACTTCAGACATTCTGAGTGATATCAATTTAAAGAAGATGTGCACTCGAGTTTCTCTAATGACCACACCACGGTACCATAGGATAAGACAGATTGAATGGATACTGAAGAGGACCAATTACCTGCTTTTGTTCCAAACAGTGAGAGCACCAAAAGGCACCGTACATTTTTGCACCTATAGAGTGCAAATGCCTTGCAAGAGAAACAGCAAAAGTGCTCGATGGTGTTGTAATCTCAGTTGCGAAAAATGGTATTTCCGTTCCCGCAAGGCTGCTCAAATAGAGAAAAGAAGAAAAAGTAGCATCAGGCGCACGCATGCCTTCCAGTACCAATTTGGTAAATGCGACTTCTAATTTCAAAAAATATGTGGTGGTTATTCCAGAAGAAATTCACAAGCGAAGCTTAACTCCTTCCAAGAAGCATAATATATCTCAACAATCAATGGAGTAAATAATGCTCCATTCAATTTAGCCAAAAAAATCGTATCTATGAAGCAGATGGACTGGAGACTAATGGACGATGTGTGGTTACCTTGAAGGGATTGATTGAGAAGTGCTATATGCAGTGCTCAGCGTAATTACCACCAAGCTCACCATGCACAGCTGTAGTACCATCGTCTTTTGTATCTCCTCAAACCCAAAATCCTGAGTGGGCGATTGACAGAATCATTTGGTCTTATTCCATGAACCACCAACTTAATCGGCGGTACATGAAAGAAAATAGGAAATACAGCGAGCACACCTTTATGGTGATGAAGACTAGACTGAATGACAATAAAGCCGACAATAGACAGTAAGAGCACGCAGTTGCCATGGATGTTGTGATCCCTATTGAATAAACACAACACCAGCACGTGAAGTAGTGTTGAAGTGGTCAAATTTCAGTTTTACATGTCTTCAATAATGATGTAGTGGAGTCCTAGTTTGTAGGGGTTTGTTTCTACACGTTTTAGTTAGTGGAATATGTTAGTGGGTCTTTGTTATTGTTATCCTGTTGTTATTTTCTTGCTGAGTAGTTTTCGATGTTATGCCTATTTAATAGGCTTGTGATCTGTTGAATGTAATGTACGAGAGTTTTTCAGCAGCAATTTTTTGTGTGTGTCCTCTTCTACTCTTTGCTCTCTTTAGAGGTTATTGAACCATACTTGCCGCTTGTTCTTTTTCAACAATCTGGTATCAGAGCCAGGTTCTGGGTATTTTGTGAGCATCTCTATTGCCAAGATGGGTGATCTTCAAGTCGTTGGCGGAATCAAGAAGCTCAGCAACCAAAACTACAATTCTTGGTCTACCTGCATGATGTCTTATATGCAGGGCCAGGATTTGTGGGAGGTTGTCAATGGAAACGATGTGAGACAACCGGAGGCTGAAGATGAAGATGGGACATTGCGGAAGTGGAAGATTAAAGCGGGCAAAGCCATGTTCAATTTGAAGACGACAGTTGAAGAGGATGTGCTGGAGCATATCCGAGATGCGGAAACTCCCAAAGAAGCTTGGGATACGTTCGCCAAGCTATTCTCTAAGAAGAACGATACGAAGCTCCAACTCTTAGAAAGTGAGTTGTTGTCGATGGCGCAACGCAACATGACAGTCGCTCAGTACTTCCACAAAGTGAAGACGTTATGCCGAGAGATTATTGAATTGGATCCAGAGGCTCCGATTGGCGATACCAGGATGAAGCGGATCATCATCCATGGTTGAAGCCAGAATTCAGGAGTTTTGTTGCTGCCATACAAGGATGGCAAAATTAGCCGTCGCTTGTCGAATTCGAAAATTTGCTAGCTGGTCAAGAAACATTAGCTAAGCAAATGGGAGGAGTCTCGTTGAAGAATGAAGAAGAGGCACTCTATGCCAACAAAGGCAAGTGGAATTCCAAGCGGCATGCCTATGGTGGATCCAAAAAGAACAATGACAAGGCGAGAAGTCATCAAGATGAAGGGAGCGTTCGTGCATGGAAAGGTTCTAAGAACCATGGCAATGGCCAAAAGTTTGAAGGGAAGTGCTACAACTGCAATAAGAAAGGTCATATGGCAAAAGATTGCTGGTCAAAAAAGAAGGCCATCGAGAGTAACGCTGCTACTTCAAAAAACGAAGACGAATGGGATGCTGAGGCTTTCTTTGCTGTAGATAAGGAGGAGCTAGCCCGTACAGCAACAACATTCAATCAAATCGATTATGAGAATGATTGGATCGTTGACTTGGGCTGCTCAAACCATATGACCGGTGATAAAGAAAAGTTGCAGAACTTGTCGGAGTACAAGGGAAGTCGGGTGGTGGTGACGGCGAATAACTCAAAGTTACCGATAGCCCACATCGGTAATACGGCTGTCTCTCCCCAATGTAGCGATGCCGAGGTGCCACTCCAAAACGTCTATCATGTTCCAGGTATGAGAAAAGATCTTCTCTCGGTAGCACAATTAACATCTTCTGGCCATTTTGTTCTGTTTGGCCCACAAAATGTGAAGATATATCGAGACCTTGAGATTACAGAAGAGCCGGTAATGAAGGGACGAAGAACGGAGTCTGTCTACGTGATGTCTGCAGAAACCGCATATGTAGACAAGACGAGAAGGAATGAGACGGCAAACTTATGGCATATGCGGCAAAGTCACGTTAGCTATTCCAAGCTAGATGTGATGATGAAGAAGTCAATGTTGAAGGGACTTCCACAACTTGAAGTGAGAATAGACACTGTATGTGCAGGCTGTCAGTATGGAAAAGCGCATCAGTTGCCGTATGAAGAGTCCAAATTTAAAGTGAAGGAACCATTAGAGTTGATACACTCTGATGTGTTTGGACCAATTAAGCAAGCCTACGTTGGTGGGATGAAGTATATGGTGACCTTCATTGACGACTTCTCGAGGTACCTGTGGGTTTACTTTATGAAGGAAAAATCTGAAACTCTTTCAAAATTCACAGAGTTCAAGAAGGTAGCGGAAGCGAAGGTTGGTAAAAGAGTCCGTTGTCTACGCACTGACAATGGGGGAGAGTACATCTCAAATGAGTTCACAGATTTCCTTCAGGAGTGCAGAATATGCCATCAGTTCACATGTGCTATCACTCCGCAGCAAAACGGGGTGTCAGAAAGGAAAAACAGGCATCTGGCAGAAGTATGTCGAAGTATGCTTCATTCAAAGAATGTTCCGGGACGGTTTTGGGCGGAAGCGATGATGACTGCGGCCTTTGTGACCAATAGGCTTCCTCAACAAAGGTTATGCTTTCGTTCACCTTTTGAAAAAATATGGAACATGAAGCCTGCTGTTGGTCATTTTCGAGTTTTTGGATGCGTGTGCTATGTATTTGTACCTGACCAGTTACGTAGCAAGATGGAGAAAAAGGCTGTTAGGTGTATCTTTGTAGGATACGACAGTCAAAGAAAAGGGTGGCGATGTTGCGATCCAACAACCGGGAAATGCTACACATCTCGGAATGTGGTGTTTGATGAAGCTTCCTCATGGTGGTCCTCGAACAAGGAAGTATTACCGGACTCGGATGTTTTTAAGGAAATGTTAGAAATTTCTCAATTCCAGTTGAGTTCAAGTGAAACAGAGGTTGCAGACGACGATGTAGATGTTGAAGAAGGCATAGCTCAAAATCCTTGGCAAACAGGTGTATACCAAAGGCCAAGCGAAGAAGATGAGCCAAGTGGAGCAAGTACACCAACTGCACTTAGAAGGTCAACAAGAGCCCGAAAGCCAAATCCTAAGTATGCTAATGTCGCCATAGTAGAAGAGGCAAATGCAAAAAAGCCTGAGACATTTGAGGAAGCGTCTCAGAGTTCGGAATGGATTAAGGCTATGGAAGAGGAAATTGCTGCATTAGAGCGAAATCAGACTTGGGAGCTCATACCAAAGCCAAGAGATGTGAAGCCTATTTCTTGCAAATGGGTGTACAAGATAAAGCGCCGCACAAATGGATCAATAGAGAGGCACAAAGCTCGTCTGGTAGCTCGAGGGTTCTCTCAACAATATGGACTAGACTATGATGAAACGTTTAGTCCAGTTGCGAAGTTTACAACTGTACGAGTCCTACTGGCACTTGCAGCAAGCAAAAGTTGGAACTTGTGGCAAATGGACGTGAAAAATGCATTTTTGCATGGGGAGCTAGATCGGGAGATCTACATCAGCCAACCAATGGGCTTTCAGAATCAAGATCATCCTGAGTATGTGTGTAAGCTCCGAAAGGCTCTCTATGGGCTAAAACAAGCACCGAGGGCTTGGTATGGTAAGATTGCTGAATTTCTTACTCATAGTGGTTATTTGGTGACATCTGCGGATTCTAGCTTGTTTGTCAAAGCTAAAGGAGGGAAGCTAGCTGTTTTGCTGATGTATATGGATGATTTAATCATCACAAGAGATTGGGAAGAAGAAATTCTCCAAACCAAGGAGAATTTGTCAGTTCGCTTTCAGATGAAGAACTTGGACAGCTCAAACATTTTCTTGGTTTAGAGGTCGACTATACTCAGGAAGGAATATTTCTCCATCAGCAAAAGTATTCCAAAGATTTGTTGAAGAAATTTGCAATGCTTAGATGCAAGCCAATCTCGACACCGATGGAGCCAAACGCCAAAATGTGTACTCATGAAGGGAAAGATTTAGAAGATGCTACTATGTATCGGCAGTTGGTGGGTAGTCTTATCTACTTAACTTTAACAAGACCGGATGTTTCTTTCGGAGTTGGTGTGATGAGTCGCTACATGCAAAATCCAAAGAAGACTCATTTGGAATCAGTTCGTCGAATCTTGAGATATGTGAAGAGCACGCTTGGCTATGGTATTATGTACAAGAAAGGTGGAGATTGCAGACTAGTTGGCTACTGTGATGCCGACTATGCAGGTGACCATGATTCCCGGCATTCAACTACCGAGTATGTCTTCATGCTTGGGTCCGGAGCAATTTCTTGGTGTAGTAAAAGACAACCAACGGTGTCTTTGTCAACCACGGAAGCAGAATACCGAGCAGCAGCGATGGCAGCTCAAGAAAGCACTTGGCTTATGCAATTATTGAAAGACTTGCATCAACCAACAGAGTATGGTGTCTCTTTGTACTGCGACAACTTGTCGGCAATACGTTTGGTGGAGAATCCGATTTTTCACGCAAGAACTAAGCATGTGGAGGTGCATCATCATTTTATCAGAGAGAAAGTCTTGCAAGAAGAAATTGAGTTGGAGCATGTCAAAACAGAAAACCAAGTTGCAGATTTGTTTACAAAAAGCTTGAGTAGCAACAAGTTCGAAAGTTTCTGTCATCAGCTCGGTATGCTGAAAAGAGTAGAAGCTGGTGTTGAGGGGGAGTATTGAATAAACACAACACCAGCACGTGAAGTAGTGTTGAAGTGGTCAAATTTCAGTTTTACATGTCTTCAATAATGTTGTAGTGGAGTCCTAGTTTGTAGGGGTTTGTTTCTACACGTTTTAGTTAGTGGGATATGTTAGTGGGTCTTTGTTATTGTTATCCTGTTGTTATTTTCTTGCTGAGTAGTTTTCGATGTTATGCCTATTTAATTGGCTTGTGGTCTGTTGAATGTAATGTATGAGAGTTTTTCAGCAGTAATTTTTTGTGTGTCCTCTTCTACTCTTTGCTCTCTTTAGAGGTTATTAAACCATACTTGCTGCTTGTTCTTTTTCAACAATCCCAAGTAAAACCAAACGGCCATTAGATTCCCCAAGTCCAAAAGGCAAATCTTTTCCGCTCAACCTCAAACCAAGAGCAGCGACAGTTCCATATAAGATCATTCCAATCAACGGAAGAGGAATGCCTGTCAAGGCGAATATATCATGATCACAATCTGCTTCCCATACAATTCCACGAGAAGATTTAGATGCATTCCTGGTATGCAGATTTATTTGTCTGAATGCACGAGAACGGATGCAGTCAGATATTATTCAATTCAATAACTAAATCATAGCGCCAGCAAACCCAGTCGGGGGCATCCATGCGAAAGTTAAATCCCATACCCACATGCCAAAAGCCAGCATATATCAAGTCGAAGAAGTGATAGATGTAAGATTGCTTCAACTTCACATTGCAAAATGATCATGATGCCTAAGCAGCAAAAGCATATGCTAAACAGCGAAGAGATTCATCTAGTGCTCCCTTCTCTCAAATTTTCCGCCAAAATCGACAAGCAAACAAAGCAAAGCAATTGGGAAAAGGGTTTTCTCTATGGTTCACACTTTGGACACTAAAGTCACACAAGTTTCTGGAAATCCACCGCACTTCATTGCAAGAAAATTAAGGAAAAAAACAAGGCTATTGCTAAATTGAGCAGTAGAACGTTACTACACGGATCAAAAAGTGGAGACTGAGCAGAATACCAAAAACCGAAGCATAATCACTGTTGAGCACGTCGCCGCAGCTGCCGCCGCCGATGGGGCAAAACGCGTCCGAGTTCGTGAGCTTCAGATACGTCAAGTTCGCAGTCTTGCAGAACCCTGCGCCCCCAATCCCCGCGCACAGCTTGTAAGTCAAGCCGCTCGACGACGACGAAGTAGCACCTGCATCTGCATCCGCATCTGCATCGGCAGTAGCGGAAGACGGCGGCGACGACGCTCCGGCCTCTGGTTCTGGCTCCCGGCTCTCTCCGGACGACGAGCACTTCACCTGAACCACGAACAGCTCTGAGCTCCAACCCCTCCACAGCACGATTCTCAGCAATTCGCGAGGAACGGGAAAGAGTAGGAAAAAAAATGAAAAAACAGGAATTTGAACTGGCGAAGAAGTCGTCGTCCCGCTTCTCACCTTGAATTGAAGCGACCGGCGAGCGGAGGGAGGAGGAATCAGGCGAAGGGAGGCCGCGAGGTTGGAGAGGAACGGAGAAGACGGTGGCGCGTTGAGGAGACGTGCCATTGGCTGGTGTTCGTTTCCTCCCTCCTCCTCCTTCCGCAGCTTCTGCTTTTGCGCTCGGTTTCGGTTTACCAGACCCTTCGGCTGTGATTCCGGTTCGACTCACAAACACGGTTGCTGCCGAATCGAACCGTGGGAGGAGTCTAATCTGGTCGGTTCGGTTCGAGTAATGGTCCGACTTTGGATCCACGGTCCAACCTGACAAATTTTTATACGAATTTGCGAAATGGTCTTCTTTGGCCATCGTTTTATGATTCGCGATGTTAGCGTTGACAATTTGGTAGTATTGTGTTTCCATGCGAACCGCACATTATTCAGGAGGATGGCTTTGTTCGACAAAAAATGTTTTCATTAACGTATAGATGATAAAAATATTTTTTGTCTATTCATTTTTATAAGCGATATAAGTAATTATTTTTAGAAAAATATTTTGTAAATTATTTATTTTTCGTGAAATGAACGAAGCTTTAACGTAATAAAATATTATCATACATTAACCATCCACGAGATATGCACTTATTTGACCTTGTCAAGGCCAACTAGTGACAATTGGCATGACATTTGTAATCCATAGTTTTTGCAGCTAACTTTTGTCCTATTTACGTGTATTGGATAAGATTTATTTATAGAATAACAGACACAGCAATTAAGGTACCTCTTGATGAGAGGCGTCATCATTTGAAGTTGATTTGTCGCATTCAAATCAAGTGTTTAATCACTCATAAGAGTCCATTCTTCATTTCTTATTTGCGTCATCTTAAAGAATGGTATACATTGTAAATACAATCCACTGGGTCTTTTATTTTTACTAGATAATATATAATTTGAACGGCAAAATGTTTAGCTCAAGATGCCAACGAAACATCAATTGCCCAGTCGTGACCGACGATCCCCCTAAGCACAAGATAAATGGGGAAATCGTCTACGAAGTGTGTTTTGGGAACTACATAACAAAGAGTTTTGGCCAGCAAAACCTCAGGAAAAGCACTGTAAACCCTTTGAGAAATCTTTGCTTCGATGCCTTGCGCAGAAGCATTGAGTGAAAGCTACGAACCACGACTAATCACCTATGGTTCTCAAAAAGTCTCAACTACATACAGCACTCCCGCCCAACCTCAAGCATAGCTTTAGGAAAATCTAGTAGAAACCCACGAAAACGCCCCGACAAATAGCACGAGTCCCACATGGTTCAGGTGGGCGAAGATGGGATCTAGCGTACGAGAGGAAAAGGGAGTTCGAAACAGGGGAAGAGGCATACCTTTCCCGGCCTTTTGGCTAAGATCAAGTATAGGGCGCGCATGGAATCCATTCTGGAGTAGAAATTCTGCTCCAGAATGCATTCCGGAACAGAAATGCGTTTGTTAAAAAATTTCCGGAATGCATACAGAATGCGTTTGTAAAAAATACTTGATTCCAAAATGCATTTTTGATTCCAAAATGAGTTTTGGGCAAGAAAAAGAGAAGCTACTTTTTGTAGTAGCTTCTCTCTTCCAGAATGCATTCTCCCTATTTTTTCTCTTTTTCTCACTAATTTTTTTTTTCAGAAAATGCATAAAAATTGAAAAATTCCAGAAAAATTCATAAAAATTTCCAGAAAATAAAAAAAGTCAGATTTTGAGAAAATAGGAAATTTGGTGAATTTTTTTCAAAAAATATAAAAAAAAATAAAAATTTCAAAATTTCACAGAATGGCTTAGAATACCTTTGGGCACCCATTTTGACTGAAATTTTAATTTTTTTGAGGTGCTCAAAAAAATCAAAAAATAAAAAATTTCAAAACTTCACAAAATGGCTTAGAATACCTTTGGGCACCCACTTTGAGTGAAATTTAATTTTTTTGAGGTGCCCAAAAAAATCAAAAAATCAAAAATTTCAAAACTTCACAAAATGGCTTAGAATACCTTTGGGCACCCACTTTGAGTGAAATTTAATTTTTTTGAGGTGCCCAAAAAAATAAAAAAATAAAAAAAAGATTTCTGTTCTAGAAATTAATTTCTGGAGCAGAATTAGTCATGTTTTATCAAACAGATTTTTCCTCTAAAAATTAATTTCTGGCAAGAATTCCGGAAATCAATTTCTGGCAAGAATTTGATTTCTGGAGCAGAATGGTTACCATTCGCGCCCTATAGTATCTGTTTGGGCCATTGATTCACATAATATTAAACTAATTTTTCCAGGGGGAGAGGCTCATCACGGCAGCTTGCTGCTGGGGCCTCTTGCTGGTCGCACTGCTGCACGGGCCTGGTGAACCCCTCCATTTCAGTCTCAAGCTTAGCCATGCCTTGCATCTCTCGCCCTGATCTATTCGTGTGCTTCTGTCTTTCTTCACTTTCTGAAAAACAAGAGAATGATACAAATATTGGATGATAAGCAGGATCGTGACAATTGATGTGCTTTCTTGGCACACCTGGCGATACATTAAACATCTTCCCCACCACTTAAGAACCAAAGCAAGAAAATGTGATTATGCCTCCGGAATACAAGGTGAAACAAACCACCTACGTAGACTACATTTGGTAATTGGGATGAAAGTCATAATAATATAGACTATGTTTAGATAGAATAAAACCGGATATAAAAGAAACATAACGGAATAAAAAAATTATCCAATCCCGGGTGGAGGTGAGATAAAAGTGAATAAAGTTTCTTCTATGGATAGTATAAAAGCTATTTTCTTACCCTACCACAAACTCCCTCCGTAATTCTCTGATTTACGCAAAAGCTTCACGAAAGCAACAAGGGAATCGGACTCCCTCCGTAACTCTCCACTTGACGTCAAAATTTCACAAAGGCGGCAAAAGAGACGACGCGCTATAATTTTCAAAATCTCATCTCGATGTTAAATGATCATGCTTATTCTCACTTACTGAATCTGGTATTCTTTCGCTGATTTATCTTGTCAATTTCGCCGTGGCCCATTTACATTTCTTGTCAGTCAATTCTATAGCCCAAGAATGCCATTAATAAGCTCCTCTGTTGTTTGAGATTTAGATTAATCATAAAAGATTCTTATCATTTTCATTTTTATATTTAAATTAATATCTCAGTTTCTACCAAATTAACAGGATAGGTAAATATCCAACTCTATTACTGCAATTCACCAATCAATAGAATATATCAAAATCCTTATATTTCACGTCCTATTAACCCAGACTTATAATCTAGACAACCAATCATAACCATAGCGTACTGCCTCAGAGGCATAGACCACAAAGGGATCATTTAAGGACCCTTTTAGTTTCGATTGCTAAAAAGGAAGAGCCTTCCAATACTCGGGTAGACAATCCAAAACACAGCTCATATCCAATTAATAAGCATTAGAAAACACCACAATCCTGCTATTGACACCAAGACATGATGATATGGGCCGTCTTCAAAAGCTGTGGTAACTGGCATGCAAAATAGGCTCTCGTGCTTCAACAAAAGGAATCTGGAAACACCATATTATCGCAAAACATCATGCCACACACTTCATAAAGCAAAATACAACTTCATATTACAGATCATCGATGAACCAGTTCTAAAGTACGACGCATGAGCATAACAAAGAGATATGAAGAGAAACTGTTTCGTACACCTCTAGAAGACACCCCAGTAAGGGGGAAGAACAGCATTGATGCCAAAACTTGTGTACGGAGGCCACTTTGGTGCCAAAACTTTCATTTGGATCACTTAAGTGCCAAAAGTTTACGCCGGCGATCACTTAAGTGCCAAATCGGAGAAAAAACGATCACTTAAGTGCCAACGGCGAGAAATTCCGATCAAATTTAATACGTGGCTTTTATATTTAAATTTTAATGACACGTGGCAGTTCCATGTGTATAATTCAATTTTTTAAATTTTTTTTCTGATTTTCTTCTTTCTTTTCTTTTTTTTTCTTTTCTTTCTTCTTATTTCCGATGGCCGGCGTCCGGCCACCGGCCATGGCCGGCCTTGCCGGGCATCGCCTTCCTCCGGGCGAGGCCCGGCGAGGCCGCCGTGGCCTCGGCGAGGGCCGCCCTAGCCGGATCCGGGCGAGGCGAGCCCTCGCCGGGGCTCGCCCGCCCGGCGAGGTCGAGGTCGCTGGACGGGGCGAGCCCGGCGAGGGCTCGCCTCGCCGGCTCCGGCGAGGCCGGCCCTCGCCGAGGCCACGGCTGCCTCGCCGGATCCGGCTAGGCCGGCCCTCGCCGGATCTGGCGAGGCGAGCCCTCGCCGGGGCTCGCCCCGCCCGTGCGAGGGTCGAGGTCGCTGGGCGGTGGCGAGCCCCGGCGAGGCAGCCGTGGCCTCGGCGAGGGCCGGCCTCGCCGGATCCGGCGAGGCGACCCCTCGCCGGGGCTCGCCACGCCCGGGCGACCTCGACCCTCGCCCGGGCGGGGCGAGCCCGGCGAGGGCTCGCCTCGCCAGATCCGGAGAGGCCGGCCCTTGCTGAGGCCACGGCGGCCGCGCCGGGCCTCGCTCGAAGGAAGGCGAGGCCCGGCGAGGCCGGCCATGGCCGGTGGTCGGACGCCGGCCATCAGAAATAAGAAGAAAGAAAAGAAAAAAAAAGAAAAGAAAGGAAAAAAGAAAGAAAAGGAAAAAAAAAGAAAAGAAAGGAAAAAAGAAAGAAAAGGAAAAAAGAAAAGAAAAGAAATGCCAAATCAGCCTCCGGCGAGCCACATCAGCTTGAGAAATTAATAAAAAAATGCCACGTCGGATTTCCGGCGAAGTGGCACTTAAGTGATCGTTTTTTACAACTTTTAGCATTTAAGTGATCCGATTGAAAGTTTTGACACCAAAATGGCCTCCGTACATAAATTTTGGCACCAATGCTGCTCTCCCCCCCCCCCCCCCCCCCCCGGTAACAAGTCACACCTAGTCCAACCAAAATATCACTTGCCAATTGGTCACACTTTTTCCTAAGAAGAACAATCACCTAGAACCGCGAGGAGAATAGATAGGTGACCTTGATCTGTCCCTCCTTGACCTTCCACCTTAAGGTGAGCGCCTGGGAGAATAATCACGGCCACCTCAAAATGGTGAGCGCCTTGGGGATCTACGGTACCCATAATCATCCCGGCCACCACGATACCTACCACGGTCACCACCCCGGTCACCACCACGGTCACCACAATAGCCTGTTTGACATGCAAGAGTACAAATTTGTCTCGCCATTGTCAGAAAAATGGGAAGCAAAATCCTCACCGTGGTCCCTAGTGCTCTTCAATCCAAGATATTGCCCAGGAGTTGGAGTCCGCAGTCGCTTCCTCCGTGACTGAAATAAACAAAGCATTACCAATGGAAAGTACCCAACTAAAGAAAATAAAGCCATCATTCAAAAGGTTGGCCATCCAAATCACTTCTGCTACAAGCTCCGTTGCCAATTTCAATCACCACACAAACATGAACAAAGTACATCCTTCTAGATAGTCTATCCAAAGGACAAGAATTATTTTTAAAAAAAAAATCTCAAATTACGTGAAAGAAGTTAACAGGAATAAAAGGAAACAAAAACCACACACTTAAGATTAGTTTTCCAACAAATGGATGCCGGATATGAGATACCATATAATCCTGACTAGAAAGTTGTTGCTAATGTCCGTTGATTAGTTGAGAGTTGAAAGTGAGTGCTGAGGTTGTATGGTTGTTGCAATATAGTTGCTATGTTTAGTTGATCAGATGCTTTTGAAAAGCTGTTAAAGCCGGCCATTGATCAAGCCGTTTCACTTAAGTTGACATGGATGAACTCATCATCTTTGGTTGCTGCCAACATAGCTGACGCAAAGTCTTCTGAATGTATCCAGAAAACTCCAAGTTAAGAAGAAAGCTAGGTAATAAAAAATCTCACTACTTGCCAAGATCTGTAATATCACATTACCTTCTCAACGGTTAGCATCCTCAACAGAGTCCATGGTAACAAATGCAAATCCGCGGGAGATGCGTGTGCGAGGCTCCACCACGAGGAAGCAAGAAGCAACCTAAAATTCAAAGTCAACTCAGCACCTAATGCCAAACAGGAAAACAATGTTCACAAACATGCGAAATACGAACAGTCCAATGAAGCTACTGACCTTCCCCTCTTTCGAAAAGTGGTCTTCTAGCTCCCTTTCGGTGACCCTAGTGGACAAACCGGTCACATAAAGCGTATTTCCAGGATTGTTGTCATCCCTGAATATAAATTTCACAAAAGTGGATAAGTGAAAGTGGCAGCAAAAGACAGACTAAAGCAAGCAAGATCATCGTCAAAAGAATATACGGAATGAAGTGCTAACACTAACCTGCCATGACTTCTGGATCTTGATCTGGATCAGAATATACCGGCATACCACACAAACAGAAAACCAGACTTCAGTCTATTAATGGACCAGTGAGCAGAAACTCATAACACCATAAACTAATAAATTCAAACCCTTCAAATACCTGCCACGGCTCCTGGACCGTGACCTCGGCTGGTGCTTGGACCAGGACGGGGACCTAGACCTGGATCTGGACCTAGACCTTGACTGCTCTCTCCAAGGTGAGGGGGATCTTGAATACCTAATTAACATGCGAATATGGAGTCAACATTTCAAAGCAAGCAAATATGTATTGCTCCCATGTTGTGGATCGAATCATTATTTGCCCAAACCACGACAAATGCACATTGCCCTAGTAGCAAAAAAGATATTACCACTATAAGGTCCTACTCCTCATTATTAATATATGATGGAAGCAAGACTAAATAGAGCAAACACACGCATTTTTTCCAGACTAGTTGGTGTTTAAATCGCTAGAGATATAACCTGCTTTTGATGAGATGGGCTTGCCTTAACACATTTCAAGTCATCTAGGGACTGAAGCATTAACAGGAAGACCAGACACCTGAATTTTATCATTCAAACAATGAACTCTAGCAACTTAAACACCATGTAAACACGAAAAGGCCAATAAAGCCACACATGCTAATTTCTCGACGCGGACATCGACACGAAGTCGCATCCCACAGTCGCCCTTGCCCGAGCATCAGTTCACAAACGAAATACATAATCTACCCATTCCCTCGTTCGCGCAATTCCTGACCTAGATCATGCTAATTGGATGCCGCTTTTGCGAGCACGAAGCGAGCACGGCGCCATCAAGGCATTAAATTCGTCGGCAAAACAAAGAACGAAAACAAAAATCGGAAGGATCGAAGGCCTACTTCTTGCAAGGAGAATCCGCCTGCAAAGAATCAAAAAAAAGAAAAGCAAAAGCCACTCAGTCACTCGCAGATCCCACATACAAGATCGAGAAAACACACAAAGAGAAAGGCTTACTCAAACTGGTACGCGTGTGACAATTTTACCCTGAAACTTTTTTTTACCACAAAAAACCCCAAACCGGTACACTTGTGACAATTTTACCCATCTGGCCACTTTTGGCCGGCTGGTGATGACGTGGACGCTGGCCAGCGGCCGGCTGGCGATGACGTGGACGCCGGCCGGCCGGCTGATGTGGCAATATTTTAATTTTTTTCGATTTTTTTTTTTGACTTTTTTTTCTCTCTTTCTTTTTTTGTTTTTCCTATCTTCTTCTCCGGTCGCCGAGGCTGAGGCCAGCGAGTTCCACCTCACCGACCATGGGCGAGGCTGGCCCTTGCCGGCACTGGCGAGGTCGAGCCTCGCCGTCGCCGGGCGAGGTTGAGCTCGCCCGGTCATGGTGAGGCTCGACCTCACCCACATGGCGGGGCTGCTCCGTTGTTGCCGTCGCCATCGACCCGAAACAAGAACTGCCCAGGAACAGCCCCTAGAGGCTCCTCAAGGAGCTCGCGGAGCGCAAGCGCGCGACCTCGCCGAAGAAGAAGGTGCCCCCAAAGCGGTTCATATTGAAGCCACCTCTAGACGACAAGAAGCTGGCCGACAGGTTCTTGAACAACCCCAGCTATCCCTCAAGTCGTTCCCACTGCTGAGCTCCTGCCTGCCCTCCTCCAAGCTGAACAATGCCGATAGGACTTGGATCGATGAGTACCTGCCGAAGGCGAAGCAGGCTCTCGAGTACCCGTTGGAGCCATCCGACAGGTTCAGGGACGACAACCCGGCCATGGGCGAGGTTGAGCTCGCCAAGCGACGATGAGGTTGAGCTCGCCAAGCGACGATGAGGCTCGCCCTCGCCAATGCCGGCGAGGGCTAGCCTCACCCATGGCAGAGCGAGGTCGAGGCTCGACCGCGCCGTCGGTGGACGAGGTCAAGCCTCGCCCAGTGACGGCGAGGGCCAGCCTCGCCCATGGCCGGCAAGGTCTCGCGGGGCATGAACCTTTGGCCGGTCGCCGGTCCGGCGATCGGAGAAGAAGATAGGAAAAACAAAAAAAGAAAGAGAGAAAAAAATCGAAAAAAAAATATTAAACTATTGTCACGTCAGCCGGCCGGCATCCACGTCATCGCCGGCCGACCAAAAGTGGCCAGATGGGTAAAATTATCATAAGTGTACCAGTTTTGGGTTTTTTATGGTCAAAAAAAAGTTTCGGGGTAAAATTGTTATACGCGTACCAGTTTTGATTTTTGGTGATATTAACCCTAAATTTTTACACTTTTCTTATCAAAAAATAACATCAAAGCGTTTTTACTTGCAAAGCAAAAGGATCATATTGATAGTCTAGCAACTTCCTTTCTTTTCTTTTTTTCGATAACTGCAACACAACCTTAGAGACCTGGCTATCGAAAGTTTTATGAAACACCTCTCAATTCTCACAAACTGGTCAAATACAAGTCTATAACATATATATGTAGATAATTTCGCTCCACAATAATTTACATACGATATGTAAGATTTGAATTAGTGACCTTCGATCCTTAAATTGAAAATTTTGCCCACGCGCCCAACAAATTATGGCAACTCGAAAAGGTTACAATTGAGCAACTTCCAAATGTAAAAAAGCCAGAAAAGCTAGCATTAATGGAATGATAAAAGCTGCATTAATTGAGAGCCAAGAATGTTAGTGACTTGTAAACAGGGTCTCATGCCCTTCCCTTAGAGATAATGATACAAACGGTCATTAAATTTTGACCTAATATGCAATTTGGTTCCTGAACTTTTAATTTGTTCAATGTAGTCTCTGAACTTCAACCTTATGGTCTTTAAACTTTAATTTATTCAATGTGGCCCATGAACTTTTGGTACATGTTCAATGTAATTCCAAAACTATATGAAAATTGGACTTGTTAAAATGAGTCATAAACTCATTTCTTAACTCATATATCAGTAAATAAGTCATAAATGAGTTAGTTATATTCACTAAATGAGTTATAAATTGGTATAAACATATATGGATGTTAAATGGGTCGTAAATGGGTTTACAACTTATTTAAATTCAAATCATGTCTCTCGCCTTCACTCAATCTCGAGCTCACTCACTTCGCACTTTCATTTCAGTTTGGGCATGAATTTTCCTAGATTGAGCTAAATATGGAAGTGTTTTAGTAATATGGGTCGGGTCGGTATGTGTTGAGTATGGGTTGGGTCGGGTCGGGTATGGGTTATTAGATTTTCATTACACGAAAATAGATCAAAACGGGTTAAATAGATCTATTTGAGTTGGACCATTTTCGCCCCGATCCGACCCATCCGTTTGACGGGTCTACTAAAAATGTTCAATGTAGTCCTTGAACTTAAATTAATGGAATGACTACATTGAATATGAAAGCATGTACCAAAAATTCAAGGACGATATTGAACAAATTAAAAATTCAGAGATTACATTACACATTAGATTAAAGTTCAGGGACTATATTAAACAAATTAAAAGTTCATGAACCAAATTGCATATTGGGCCAAAGTTCAAAAACTATTTATATTATTTTCCCCTTCCCTTATAAGGGCACGCTTCAATCATAAATATTTTTCAGACAAAAATAAAATCATAAATATTTGAGGCCAAAGGATAATATTGCGTGACAAGACACATACAAAACCCGACCTCAATAGCTAGTCGTGACTCATGAGCTGGGTCTCTTCCCCTATCTCGTGCTAAAGCTCTTTTTCTTGGACAAAATTTGATCCGATGGTCAAATCGAACAATACCTTGTTGAAACACACAAATGCTAACACGGACATAACTTAACTAAATAAAAAAAATACTAAATAGTATATGGGATACGTTTATTGTGAATTTCCGCCAAAATAGAAGCGATCTATGTAAGAAAGATAAAAGCATCATACACTCTTTATTTCGACGACGATACAAAGACACAACACAATGGTACAAATCTAAATGCATTTGGTTGATAACTCATTGACCCAAAGCTCCTTCACTCTTCACACGAATTGTTAGGGAAAAGTATTAGAAAAATCCTAAATCTATTGCATTTGTACCAATTTAATCATAAACTTTTTGACCTAGTATCAATTCAGTCCTTCCGCCTGATTTTGGTCGGATATTACTGACATGGTCACCGGCTGGCGTACGTAGCACCGTCAGCGCTGACCTGGATAACTTTTAATAATATTTTAATATTTTTTCAAATTATTTATTAATTTTTAAAATTTAATTTTTTTTTCTTCTCTTTCTTCTTCCTCCAGCCAGTCGCCGAACCTCGACGACCGGCCAGAGGCCAATGCTGGCTCGCCTAGGGGTGAGCATGGCTCGGCTGGGCGATTCCCACCATGGAATCATGAACTGCCCATTAAGGACCGGTTCCGAAAATTTGAAACGGGGAATCGCCTATTGATTCCATAGATCCACCGAGAATCGAACCGTCGGTCCAATTCGATTTCCGGGTAGGTCCATGGAACCGGTTCCACCAAGTTTCATGCAAATGGAAGTGACCGAGAGCGAGGAAGGGAGGCGATGAATGGCCGCGGAGGCGTGGCTGTGAGTTGATAGGAGTTGAGAGTCGAGACCGTGAGTCAATGGACGATGAGCTTAAGAGTTGAGATTGTGAATGAGAGATAAAAAGACAACTCAAACAAAGTGAGAGTGAGATGAACGAGTACTTAGTTGACGGACATTGAGCTTTAAATTAGGGATTTTAGGGTTTTCATTTTTTCTTAAAATGTTTTTTTTTTTGGTTGGAAATTTTTCTTAAAAATTATATATATATATATATATATATATATATATATATATATATATATATATTACTGTTTCAGTCCGGGTGGGCGGGCGGGCGGTTTCACGCCTAGAACCGAGAACCGGACTGGTATCCACTGAAACCGCTGGTACTAGTCCGATTCGATTCCGGGCGGTTCCCGGTTCCTTTGCACACCCCTAGGCTCGCTGGCCACTCATTTTCGTGAACGGAGACGTATTTACTTTCTCCTTGTTATAATATTATTTACCAAATAAGAAACATTTAAAATAAATTACGTAAGCTATTTAAAATAATTCACATACTTGGCGGTGGAACTGGTGTAACAACAGTGAATCCTCATTTGCGGTTCAACCAAGGCTCTCGCAGAGTCTTCCAAATCCCGACCACTCGTCCATGCGAGTGGACTTTCATCGTTCGTGATCTCTTCGGTCACCTTTCGGACGCGAGATTGGCGGGTGCTTTCGGCCTCGGCGTTAGCAAATGGAGCCACAGCACCAGGGAGAGTTGCATACATTGCCTCAAAGCCTCTTCCATCAAGAAGAACGCGCGGAATGCTGAAAGAGAGTGGCCTGTGATTTGTTCCATCGAGACCCATGCATCTGCTGGGCCCACGAGGAAGGCAAAAGCACCCGTTCGTCTCCGCTGCAACGTGGAAAGCGATCAGATTCTACTTCAATAGGAGGGCGTACAAAGGCATCCGGAACAGAGACTCGTATGACTATACGTACCTGTTGGAACGTTGCAGAAGCAGCTCGTGCCTCAAAAGGATACACGCCCAGATCGTAATCGGGGGATTTGAGCAGAACCCATTTCTCGCAGCGAAGCTGGTTGGGGCCTATGGCGACCGCGGTGCGCCGAACATGGGCGACGCGCGTAAGGTGTTCGATAAATTGTCGGACAGAGATGTTTTCTTGTGGAATGTGATGATCCGGGGTTATGTGAACTCCGGTCCTTTCGCACACTGGTTTGCTTGCTCTCGCTGTGGCTTAACCTTTGAT